AAATTTGACTTTCCCTTGATTTAAATTTGGAATTAGCGATTTGTAGATATCGTAGACGAAAAAGAGTTAACAAATTCCCTATAATTTATAAATTATCTTACTATCTTAAAGCATTAAATATATTATCTAAAGTTTCTATCTTACCAACTTCGTTAATTTTTAATTGTACAGCTATTTCTTCCTAAAATAATGAAAAAACATTTTGCTGGTAATAAGCTGATATTATGACGAATAAGCCTATGTCAAATTTCTTGAAATAAGTAGCGAATTGAGAGAGAAACGTTGCAACGCGTAATCATGAAATTAATTTAAGTTAAAATTTATACTGTGGATCACATAAAAACTTATTGTGTAAATTATGTCACTTACTTTAGGGCGATAAATGAGATTAAATGATAAATCACGATGAATAAATTTCAAAGTCGTAATACTTAATATAAATGAATTCTTGATCAAGCCCTATTGTTTTTAGTAAATGATTAAATAATGTATGTTTAGAATCCATGTATTGAGTAAATATTGTAGTATCTAATGAGCACAAATAAGTACTTTAATTAAACTAAAATAAAGTACTTTGATTTTAATAGCAATATAATCCTATTGGAAATTTAATAGTTTAATAAATTGAGTATTGTTTATATCAAGTTGCAATTAACCATGTAACCATTTTTGAGTTAAGAAGACTTTACTCTAGTACAAATTCCAAAAGATCCTTTTTATAAGTGTTATTTATTCATGTGTCTTGTTAAAATTCTTACTGTTTAAATTTTCACAGTTCATCTCATACGAAATTCATAGTGTGACTCATCTTAGTACGATAATTGAAAATTATGCGAGCAAAATAGACGTTAATAACTGTTTATATAGGTTACGGACAGATTTTGTTTTCTCACAGACTGATGACCTTACAAAATTAAGGTTTATTTAAGGTAATTCGCATGAAAGAAATATGTTTACACTCATCTCGATGGCTACATAGAATATTTTAACAAAAAAATACGATTTACAGCTGTTTTTTGAGGTTAGAACCAAAATATGACATGCTAAAACGCATATGCTTAACTTTACTAAAACAACCAAAAAGAAACATTTTTACACATTTTTTTGGCTTACAATATGATAAGATTTCAAGAGATTTGCTTATTTTAACATTTTTCGTGGTCTTCATCGACAGTCAGAGTCATGCCATCAGCCGCCATTTTTATTTTTGGAAAGAGCCACTCGTTATCGTAAACTACAGGCTTTAAACTACAAAATAGTGATTTATTATAATTTTTTAGGTGCTCCCATTTTTGGACAGCAGGGGGGGGGCTAAATATTAAAAAGAGTGCCCCATTTATAAATTTATATATATATATATACGTAGTACTATCGAGAGCTTATTCAATATTCATGCTGAGCCCACAAAATCAAACTTCTTTATGTATTCCCGAACGTCCACGTCGTTGTTTGTTAAACCAGCTACATTCCAGAAATACCCATGCACTCCATCCTCCCGTTCCTCCTTCCCTTCGTCTTCTCAATTTTTTTCTGTGTTCCCTCCTCACCAAACTCACCTTTCCGTTTGTTCCAGTGGTTGCATCTGTTGTCTACTAGCACTTATCAGTATCCAACTCTCGTTATCTTTCACCTCTCTTTCCGTTCTTTGGCCCATTGTCTGGCTTTCATCTGGATGATCCTCTCTTTTTAAGTAAGGTCATCTTCTATGTACACCTTTTTTACCAGATTTTTTTTCTTTTGCATCACTTGCCTTTTAGATTTCTAATCAGGTAGCTTTATTATGGTTATTTTCTTGTTCACTTCCATGTTTCTGTCTCCTATGGTTGTAGCCTTTAGGCCCTGCACTTCCATTCCTAGATAATAGTTTAACTGTTTTTCCATCTCTTTTGACGTCTCTCCTTCGCTAATTTTCAGTCCTTTCATGACAATATTAAGTTTTCTGCCTTCTCTATCTTTCCTCTCCTTTTCTTCTTCCGATTTTCAAAGTCTATCATTGATATGTTCCTTGTCCATAAGTCATTCCACCCTGTCATCCTCTCTTTGCTTTTCTATCTTCTCAATTCTTCCCTTGAATTTATTTCTCAGTTCCTTTATGTCATTTCTCGTTTTTTGCATGTCCTCCTTCACGCTTCTTATCATCTTGTTTACATTTTCTGATTTCTCCTTTATTTCTGTCAAGGTTTTGGTTAGTTTGTCCTTTGTAGCCTTGTCCATTTCTTTAGCTTCTTTTACACCGCTAACTTTGAGCGTGAAGCTGTCAAATTCGCATAGCTTTAACTGCTTTGTGGTTTGCCAGGATTTTGCAGTCAATCTGGTTGTTCTATCACTTTCTTCTTTCTTCCATAGCTGTTTGAGCATATCCCAACTATCTCTCTTTTTTCTCGAACCTTCCGTTTGAGGTTATGATTACCAGCTCTTCTCCTGCTCTTCCGTTTTTTTCTTTTCTTTTGCTCCTCACTTGAGATTTCTTTTCTTTTCTGTACATCTTTATTTTTCAGGCTTCTTTTGCCTTTTTCTTACTTTATTCTTCCCTTTTTAATTGGTATTGCCCAATCTCTGTGAGCCACGATGTGCTCCCTACCAAAATTCCAAGTTCTTCAATATATCATAAATAAACAGCACACCTAAAAAAAAGATTTAACATTTATGATGAACCCCAACGCATGTAAACGTCATGAAAAAAGAGAAACAATAATCCTTTTTCTTGAGTTGTAGGATAAAAGTACCATTCAGCATGTATGATAATTTGGAATATCGTGCTATAGTAAAAATAAACTTTAAATCATACAGCCGTTTGTAGATGGAATCTCAACCGATCTACGGGGAATCTGAAGGAATTTGAGTTAGCTCATACTTGAAATCTATGTCGCACATTGAGATAGATTTTGAGATGATATCAGCTTGTCGTCAATTAGTCTAAAATCCTTGAAAAGTTCAATAAAAATCAGGATAGAATTCACTTAGATTTAGCATAAAAATCATTTGAATTTATGTAGGATAAGTTAAAATATTTTCCTTATGAGCACTAAATACGATTTTCATCCAAGAGGTCATGTTGCACTCTTAACCCTGAAATCCGAGAAACGAGTTGTATTTTCAGCAAAAAAAAGTATTCGCTACATGATTAAAAAGAACGGTATGAACTTAAGAGTGTTTCGCCAACACCGATTCGTTTTGTTTTTTATTTTTATTGTATGTCCATCGTTTCGAATCACCCATTTTAAATTATTCAATTCAGACACCTAATGTAGTCAATGACTTTAAAAATCACTGTTAACTTTTTTCGTAATAATTAGAAGTTTTTGATTCTCATAACAACTATTTAAAACCTATCATTGTAAATTTTTTATTTCGACACTTGATTTATTGTCAGTAATTTCATCAACCCTGAATACTTTTTCATCGGAACAAATACAAATTTTTAATTTTAACGTCCATTATTCTAAAATTTCCATCCTGAATTTTCTAATTTCGATTCATCATCATGAAACTTACAATAGACTACAAATCTTTGATGACGGATAAAAAAATGTTTTTCTTTTATATTTTACCCGACATAATTGGTCTGCCACTTCTTTAAGTTATATGACATTGTTATTTGAGCACCAAAACATGAGAGTTTATGTTTACTAGTTAATCAACACTTTTTTTCTTTTTTTTCAGTTGAATCACTTGCGGGTACAGCTTTTCATTTCAAAATAATCAATTTTGAGCCATGTATTAAACACAATCTATAACCCGTATATTAGATACCTATTTTGTAAAGTTTTTGTGGGAAGGATAATAAATGGCTTGAGTTGTTTTTCAAGTGGCACACAACACTTCTGTATCAGAAACCGTAGGTGAAATGGGCTATGATAGCGTTCGACAAACAAACGCATGGTGTTCAATTAAAGAAACTAGAGCAAGGTGGTTGGCTGTCACCTGCTTTGTTGTGGTTTGCTTCATACCTTTTAGGACGAACACATTCTAAGCTGATGTAACCCAGAAAAACATTTTATTTTTTTACTATTTTCATAATATTATGTGGCTCTATGCTCGACATTTAGATGACTAGAGATATAAAAAAAAAAGACATATTTATCAGTTAATTCTTCTTGAATATTGCTATTGGGCTACAAACATTGGCAGAGTCACTGCAAAAAGATCTTTTTAAATCACTAGTTATTAATCAACGGCTCTTACGAAAAACAACGGAATTCAGATTTTCCCGTTTAAAATAACATTGGAATTTCTGAGTTCCGTTGTTTTTCGTAAGAGCCGTCTTAATGTAGTCGTAGATTAAGAAATTCAATATGGCAGATTAACACGACAGATATAATAAGCCTAATGTTCATTGCATTAATACATATCTAACTATTACAAAATAATAATAATAATGAATATTTCCTAACTCTCTTACGAGTTGTACTTGTTTACAATACTCACAACTCAGCATTCAGAAGATTAAGTTTAACTGAAGTTAATTATCAGTTTGTATAAAATTGGTTGAAGATGAGCGTTGTTTTATTTCATAGAAAAATAATATTTAATGTTGGTTATTTACTGGTGAAAATTGCTTTAAAAACCATATACTAGAAAAACTACTTGCAATCATTTTTTGTCATTCAGAAAAAGAATATGATTGATATTTTATCTGAGTTCATTTTACAATTGTAAAAATATATATCACAACGCGTAAAAAGCAGTTACTAATTGTGTCTGTAACCAATATTACGAGAAACTAATAAAAATGCTGGTTTTCAAGAACAAAACGATGTTTCATCCTTTTGCTTTAAGTTTTTTCTGTTCTCCTATTATTTCTAAAATATGACGAGTACAATGTAAGGCTCGTAGAAAATTGAGCCTAATTTAAATGCATGTTTATGAAAAGGTGTGAAAAATATCCAAGCGTACAGTATTACTTGAATGTATGCTCCATAGAAAACAATTATGTTAGTCATTATTGTTTACATTTTATCAATAAACTTTATTAGTCAAAGTAATATCATAAGACTCACCCATTTTATGTGCATGTACGATGATTTCTTCAATAAATTTTTCACTGTATTTTTTTTTTACAATAGCTGGATCATAATCATTAGTAATGATTTTGAAAAATTGGTCCAGATCTAGAATGCGATTATTATCTCGTCCATTGAATTTACAAAATAAGTATAGGAGCTTTTTACTGACTTCATTAACCTCATATTGGTATAAATATGAAAAATTATCTGACGTTGATATTAACTTATACAATGACTTAAAAATACTTGGAGGATGAAATGGAAAATAAGTTGGTAAAGTGATTTTCTGTATTTTTATATCTTTTTTTGGCAATTTATCTATTATCTTATGAAGTAACGGGAAATCTAAAAAATAATACTGCGTATACATTGGTAGATTTAAATAAACTGTTAACTGGTATAGTAATTTTGCTAACAAAAACAAGCTATCCGATATATTAGATTTGAGTTTTATTTCTTCATAAAGTAAGTGAAGCGACAGTAAAACATTAATAAGATGTACTACGGATGTAGATTGAATACTGATTTTTTGTACTGCACTCTGTTTCAGCTTCATTTCAGTAGATGAATTTGGACTAGTATTATGGTTGAATTGTGATAAGCCGATTGCATCATGGAGAAAGCATTTAAGGTTGTTTGTAGTTTCGGATATAGTTAAATATGACCAATCGTCAATTGATCCATTATTAGCAGTTTTTTGTTTTTTTGGAACAAATACTGGACTAAAACTTTCAGACATATAATTCAAATCATTATTCATGGTAATATTTAATTTGTTTACTTCATAACCAAAAATAGTAAAAAAAATAAGCAAAAACAGAGTCCATTCTTGATTAACTGTTAAATCTTGAGGTCCAGGGGCATTTCTAGCACTATACCATTTTACTTGAAGTTGCACTGTAATTTCTCGAGGTAAAATACTTTGCAGACACTGCAAACACATGTTCACTGAAATAATATTAAAAAAAAACTATTAGTTAAGGAAAATATTTATTCAAATGGAAATTTTTTAAATCCCGATTAACTGTCGCACACTTGTGATGAACTGATTATACGTACATTAATGTTCAAAAGACTGAGATTAAGCAGTTTTAAATGAAGTTTTATAACAATAATTAATAATTAAGTAAGTCTTATGTATAAAAACTTATCAATAGATTCATAGCACTAGTCTTGATAGCTGTGACGTAAAAAAAGTTTTTGTCAAATCGTATAAACAAACCGAGATTGATTGCTTCAATGCCGCATGCTCTTATCTTTGGCTAAGCTGGCTGAAGAAAATTCTGATGCACTACTCATAAATTTTTTTGTCAATCTAGCTAGAAGTAGCAAGCATATAATATTGGTCAATTAAAACATAGACTAATGGGTTTAGGAATCCCAAAAAACTTGGACCTTAAAATTAATCGTTTTACAATTACCGTTTATTTATACTTCACTGCGATTATAAGAAAGGAACGAGCTAGTAGTAAGGATCACTGGCAGAAGTGAAAACTAAATTTATGATGAAGCTAATTTTTATACGTCATCTTTTAATTATTCTCATATCAGAGATTAAAATTTAATTATGAGCAATCAAAAACTGTCATAGATTGGTTTTCAGTTTTTACACTTATTAGCACTCCAAGCAACATTTTTTAATATTATTATACTTTTTATCTAATAACAAAAAATATAACTCATAAATTTAATTAATACATCATATAACTTTTGTCTTCCCTAGGACGGAGCGTAATTTATACGTGTTTTACTGACCAGCCCAGACATGGGCATGCATAACTTTATTCGCAGTTTCTATCGTATCGCCATCTCGTAGGTTTCAGCACTAACTAAACAATATGAGAGATAGAAACAAATTATCTGATCTACAAAATAGGGTGAATAGTGCGTCAATGAAGCTACACATAATAACCTAGCACATGTCTTGCCTTAAAAATGTGTAGGAAGTTAAGTTGTGGTTTGAAACAAATTATGAAAATTAGTGTTCTGCAAGAGTACTTCACGAATTGCAAGAGCACTATCATTCAGCTGGCTTAGTCAACACAATGCGTTTAGTAGTGTATTAAAAGGTTACCTATAAGTACATACGTAAACTATATCAGACAAAACATATAGTTAAAAGAGGGACTTGTATATTGATAAGCTAAACGCATGGCGTAAACTTAGCTGACCAAATCAAAACGTTTGTGCTAGCAGAATACTCTAGCAAAACAAATTTTTATAATCTGTTAGCTTCAGACTTTAACTTGGCTTCTTGTAAGAACTTAAGGCAAAATTTATGTTGACTAATAGTCTTTCACTTAATTCACCCACTATCTGTATCATTATTTTATATCAGTTGATTCATCTCAACCCTTACATAGTTCGTGCTTCAATCCACAAAAAGGCGATGCCTATGCTGGAAAGTTCGAATAACTGTACATTAAACACTCTTCCCCTACTTGCAATTACAACACCGGCAAATTACAACACATCATACCTGTAGCTACCCAGATACATAGCTAAAGTACAGCATGACGCGGACGTGACGGAGCTCATAAGTTACTTTCTATCTCAAAAAAACTATCATGCCTAAAGATATTTTTACTTTACAAAATATATTGACTTCCATTTTTCATGAAAAATTTATTTTTCAACTGAAACAATTTCAGATACTGCATGTTTGCATATTTCTTTTCTTTATCAAAAATATTGCAATTCGCACGAAAAAGCGTAAGCTAAAAAAAAATACGTTCGAGCTTACTTAAAAGCTAAGATATAAGAAGTTGACAATTGCTGTAGAAACAGAATAATATTAAAATTTTATTGTGGAACAAAAACTCGCATCATTTTTTTATGTATTTTTGCATTGCACTATAAATTTACTTTTGTTATACTAAAGAAGGTTCAAACTTGTACCACACTAGTCAGAGTAAAGAGACGGGTTTTGTGCTCAGTCAGTAAGTCAGTACTCTTTTCATGTGTATGTATAAGATGTACTATGTTAACTAGAATGAGAAAGAAGATTTCTGAAATTTTGTATGCAAGTAACTCATATTAAAAAAAAAATCCGTTAAGTTTAACGGCCCAAGTCACACTACACTTTTGTCACGGACGGTCATAAAACTTTAATTAATTTTTTTTTTCTAATAATGCTGAATTTGTAAATATCCTAGGCAATTGTGAATGAGAGAAAAAAAAATACAGTATATATACTAATATCAAAGGTGAAACTTCCAAACACTTGCTCCACAGTCAAAAATCAATAATAACACAGTATATATACGTTCCGGTGCGTGTGGTGGCTCAGTCAGCTAGGTCGTAGGTAGGCACGCGGGAGACCGCGGTTCTATTCCCAGCCAGTGTGACTTTTTTGTGCAAGTACCTCTGTGAATTTTCACATATGCTTTTTAACCATGCAATGCTCCTCGAGAAGCATGTAGGCGACCTCTTCACAGCAAAAAATTGCCTCATGTCCTCCCACCGCCTCCCAGTAATGGGAGACCTCCCATCTCTCTTCCTTTCCTTCTCCCAAGTGCTAAGTGCCCAGAGTAGTACCCTTTATAGGAGTCGGACGTAAAGCACTTTAAAATAAAAAAAAAATTTACGTTCCAAAAATGTTTGTACCATGATGTGATAAGCAAGTGTCTGGCTAATAGAGAGCTGTAACAATACGAGCTAAACATTTTTACGTTTTACCTAATAAGTTTATGCAAATTATTTAAAAAAATTAATAATTATGCTCACTGCATTTGTCTGCAAAGTAAAAATAATGAATTTGAAATTGGTAAACACAAAATATCCAATCATTATTTAAAATTTCACGATTTTTAAATTTTTTACGGAGAACAAATTATTATTAAATAAAAAAATCGTCCTTAGGTCACAGTTAGTAGTCTATTATTTTACTTTAACTTCAGTGGCTTTTACAACGTTTGATTACCAAGTAAATTTGGTTTTTTAAAAGTTAACTCAATGATATTGGCAATGGTTTTTCTGTACGATTTTAAAGTGATAATTTCTCAACACACAGAAATTCGTATATTTGTATAATCAGTTTTTGTTTCTTAGCAAACACTTTTCCGTAGCACCTGTTATTCCAGCTTATTTATTTTTTCGAAAAGGTAAAGATTTAAGAAAGAGAGAAAAAAGTCAGTAAAATACTTCGTGTGTGACACATTTAAAACGAAGTCCCTTTTAAACGTAGGGATGGCATATTTAATTACAAATGTCATGGCTCTCCTTCTTTTTATACACCTCTCTCTTTAATTTTGGTACGTCAACCAAGACCACTCTTTTTGTGTGCCTCGGTGATTTTGTTTCCCTTAGGAAACCCGTAAAAATTATTAATTTGGCATATCTTGCTTTTTCTTCGAGACATCAAGTTTTACTATTTTTTTAGAGGTTATGTTGTCATAAGATATTTTGGAAAAAGATTCTAGATGTATTTAATAATTTTCTAACTATGCTATTATTTTTTCATAATTTTTAACAATAATTATAAAAAAGATATAGCATTAAATAAGTTATGTTGAAGTTGCGTTGTAATATTAAATAAGACGAAGTTTTCCTATAAGATGTTATGGCGAAAATTTCCTTACACGTAGGTATTTATACATGCGTGCACTTAAAGCTTAAGTTACAGTGATAAGTGTCCAAGATTATTTCTTTATGGGATGCATTGTTTTTGAATAAAAAACTGTCAAATAACGTTAGTCTATTTATGGTATTCAGCCCTTGTGTTACTTTTTACTCTTGAACTGATCACTTTATAAAAAAATTACCAAAGACAGTTTTTGTTTACAATTAATTTAACGAAGAACATTATTAAAAAAAAAATTTTTTAAAGAAATTATTAAAGTTTTAACAGTAGATCTGAGATAACAGAGGGAATGTTTGGATACTCCGAATTTTTAATTTAAAGTAATTCTACTTAATTTTTGGACTATTTTAAGAGAACACTGGTTATAGTAATTTTCTCATTATGCGCCACTTCCAGATTAAAAAGGACTATTTTAACATATCTAGTTACAACCTGATCATGCAGTCGATAAATTACAGAGGTCAATTTCGATTTATAACTTGGCATGAGATTCTATAAAGTTTTTACGATATAAAAACACTCAATTTAAAATTGCCAAATTAAACAAAGCCACCCGTTACTAAAATTCAGCTTATGATGGTTTTTACTTAGAAAACGCGAACATTGGACTCGTTTCTCCGACGCTTTCATCGAAAATGGTATTACACGAAGTCGTTATCGTAAAGAAACTTTTTCATTTTAATAATATTTGCGAATGTTGTAATCTTCATGTTACTTTGATTCAGATTAAAGTTTAGTTCTGATGTATTCATTACTTGAACCAATAATACAGTACTTTTTTTTTTAATGATAGAATTCTACTCTTTGATTTAAATATTTTTTTAGTTTTCTTTTCTTGTTAACTTAAATTATAGATTTTAATTTTGCAGTAATAAAAATCCAAAAAAAAATACCTTTCAATACAAGTCAACTTATGCAAGTTCAAAGTTATTATTAGCACGAATATTATTTGTACAGCCTCATTACGTGAAATATTTTTTAAACAGCAAATAATGTCCGTACGACTTATCCACCGATTTAGTTATAAGTAATAAATACTCAACTATCTGTATTATATGTAACACTAATTTTTGGCATCACCAAGAAGTGAGATAAATACCTACTATTTAAGTTAGAAATTTAAACAGTATTCAATAATTAATTTAAAAAACATCTTTAATGTCATGAAAAAAAAGTTTTTAATAAAAGGATCTTGAAAGACTTAAAGTAGGTTAACAACAACACTTGTAGTTTTGTTGCTTTTCAATACAAATGTATATTATATGCATGTATGTATACATATAATATACTGATAATAAAAACATTATTCAACAACAAACATTATTTATACATGTATATTTATTTATATATGCTGGGCTTTTCTCGA